TTTACGTCACTGAGAGAATACATACTTCTCCAGCTCTCAGTGTCACCCAAGATTCTTATCTCCGCTGGCATGTAAATATATGTACTTGGAGCTTCAGCTTTTAATGTAATATGCCCAATAGCTAAACTATTCCTTTTCCTAATAGCAGAAACACACACATGCCTGCGTGCATACACACACACACGTACACACACACACACACACACACACACACACACACACAATCTGGAATAACTTAACCATGATTATGTTTCACCTTTTACAATCGGCAGTTGTCAGGAAGCTATGTGAATCTATTATCTAGCTCTTTTTTTTTATCATGGTTTCGTTAGTCTATATCGCTGCACAACAGTCTAGATTTCCTACACCTCTTCATCACACTCCACCTGTCTCCTGTGTCCTGTGTATGTGATATATGCACATTTGTGTGTGTGTGTGTGTGTGTGTGTGCAAGTCAGACGTTGCCATCAGCATTGCTTGCACCTTATTTCTTTGATATACACCCTCTCACTGAACCTGAAGTTTCCTGATTCAGCTAAGCTGGCTAGCTGGCTAATCAATGACAACGGTTCACCTGTCTTCATTCCACACCAGCACTGAGGTTACAGCTTTGTGCCATCATGTCTTGCTTATCTGTGGATCCTGGGGATCAAAACTTAGGTCCTTATTCTTGTACTTCAGCCACTTAGCTGACCAAGTCTTCTCCCCAGACAATGTCTCTCAAAATTACTCCAGTTACTCTTAAATCATCATTGGAGCTCTATAAACGATCATAAACTTAAACAGAGAACTGGAACTTGTAAGGGTTAGGGTGAGAATTTTACATTTTAACAAACTTACCAACTCCCAAATTAGCTTTTCAAACTCCTAGTATTAATCTCCTTACCTTCCATTTCTACCAGGAGTCAGATGACTCTATGAAGTGTTCACATAGGTGAAGGGGCTCTAGCAAGCCCAAGCATAGAAAACATGGCTCTGGCAGGCCTTGCCCTTCTCCCCCATTCCCTCTGCCTTGCTAAAAACCATAAGATCGCATTTCTAAAGCTACTGCCACGTTCTATTCCCTTATTTGACCACTTCTTCTTCCTAAGTCAGACTACCAAGGTCCAGCTATCAAAATATTGAAGTCCAGCCCATTTTGCCTACCTTAATTAACATGTCCAATCAAAATTAATCCCCTTTTACCTTTATAAAATGCCATTTGTCTCTGGGCTGCCTTCTTTCCCCTCTCTATCTGGAGGTACTCCTTTGCCTCTCTTCTACTTCTGGGACAAATCCTCCTGCTCTTTCTTCCTTGTTCCCTTCCCCTTTCCCTTCATTCTCTATCTCCTATCCTTCTTTCTTATTCCCTGCCATCTGGGGCAAATAAATTTGTACTGAGAATTTGGTCTTGGGGTGTCTTATGCTGAAATCAGTTCTTTCAACATACAATGCTTACAATGTACAATGTACAATGTACAGATGCTTACCTTGGGGCACATTTCTGTTTAGTAATGAGAACTTTATCTGTGTTATATATCACATACGTTTTGGTGAATTTTAGGGTTTCTGAGAAGGCTTGATGGGAAAAGGAATTTGGCTGTCAAGTCTGACAACCTGATTTTAATCTTAAGAATCTACATTTTGGAAGGAGAAAAGCAACTCCCACAGGTTGTTCCCTGATCTCTACATGCACAAATGTATGTTGGCGTACACACACACACACACACACATGCACACACGCACGCACACACACACTCTGCTGGCCACACACAAATGAAAGAAACAGGTAACATCTTCCCCAACATTTTCATCTTCCTAAGGATTGGACGTCATTCATTTAATAGAAGAAACAATGTCATGAATTGTTTAATTAACAAAGCAAGGCAACCTGTTGCCCTTTAAAAGATCTGAACTAAGGCTGGTTCTTGTAATAACATCTGGGGACTTAATTGGAGAAGTTTCCACCACTCCCAGGAACTGAGAACACTGTGCCCAAAATATTCTTATAAGCCACATGATTTGAAGTAAACACATACTTTCTGTCAGGAGGGATGGAGGCAGGAACTTGGTTACATGTCAGGTAGGGTGTGCTAATGTGACCAGTCTTCAGCAAAAGTTGAGAAGTGAGTCTACTTTGGGCCTCTGTTTGCCAATATTTCACATACAGTGTCACATGGCCCTGCTCAAAGAATTAAATATATCCTGTAGGGCTCCATAAAAACAGGTTTGGAAGCTTGCACCCGGTTTCTCCAGAACTCTACTGTATGTATCGATTCCATTGCTGATTGTATTTGGCATTTTATTGTTAAAATCAATCATAACCATAGGTATGACTGTGCTGAGTCTTACAGGGGCTAATATAGCATGTCAGCAAAGACCAAACCTCAGTGTGGTCCCAGGGAGCTCCAAGTCAAGAGTTTCTATAACATGTCTTTCCGTGGATAGAAGCAGAATCCATGGGTTATCAAAACATGCAAATGCCGACCTAAAAGCCAAGTTTCATTACTTCTGTGTGCCACAGCTTCTTTGTCTAAAAATCTGGGCCAGATAATGTTTATTTCACAAAAGTTTTTACAAAAGTTTACCACAAGAGGTCTGTGGTAAACATCCTTGAAGACATATTATATATTATTTTTATTTAACCTTTTATGTTGGGTTTAGTGATCAGAAAGAATTATATAGATCCAATTTTATCCTTATTCTACCATACACAACAATAGAAGTCATTATAAGAACTCAACAGGTCACAGGTCTGTTGGAGGTTGTGAATAGATGGCTTTGCTAAGGATATGCCTGGAGTTTCTCTAAAGCCTCCCAGGCTGTGGGGATTGCTTGGAGAGCAGGCAAAGAAATATTCATTCCCAGCTCTCAACTGTGGTTAGATGTGTAACTCTTGCTTTGAGCATCCTTAACAGTCCACTCAGGAATGAGTGTTCTAGCTGCCAGTCTGCACTGCTTTCCTTTTCTTGGATGCTTGCTCAGCTGGGTACTGCTGCAACCATTAGTTCACACACGATTTATTCACCACTGCTCACCTGGTGCTTTCTGGAGCCATTCCATCAAAACCTCTCTCCTAAGGGTAACTTTGTCTTTTCCCTTTCATTTGCTTTGGTAGTCATCTTTACTTTTGTGGAATAAGAGTTACTAGACAAATATAATCTCAGTTAGTAGCAGCGTATTTGAAAATATATTCTAATATGTGTTCAGTTATCCTCTGTGTCCCCATTGTCCAGAGGACAATGACATCACGTTTTAGTACTCTGAATTGCTTTATATGAAATAATGTGACATTTTCAAACATACAAGGCTTGAAGATGAGTTGTTGAAATCTCTTTAGCAAGTCAACTAAGGGAAATTCTCTAGCATATACTGAAGGAGCTGTCATGAAAAGCAGACATTATCTGGAAAGAGTTGCTTTGTGTCATAAGTTGTTTAGGGGAAAAGTTAGATGTCTCTACTGTTATACAACATTTAACAAAGACATTTTCTTTGAATTTATGAGCTAAAGGAGATTCAGTTGTAGGATTATTTCACGGGAAGTCAGAAGACCTATGTTTTAACATTTCAACATTATATGAGAGCTAGAGTCATTTTGTCACCCCCTAGCTTTCCTCTAGCTGATTGTGACCTACTAGTATTAGCCAATGTAGTGTCGCTGCCATTGATTGTGGTCCTTCTCTGGAAGGTGGCTTGGAAATAAATACAGCCTTTTCATGCTCTCTTCTCCTAGGTTTTGGATGCAGGTTAGTATACACAGTGACCTTGAAGAGTACATATTGAATGGACTAGAGCCGTTCTGTGCTAGTTTCTCAATGAGTGTGTATTTTAATGGCCTGTCATTTTCTTTTAGCAATCTGTGCTATATTAATACCTTGGACCTTGAGATCCTGTGCTATCACAGCTAGTATGTGTGTTTCTGATTATATTGTCTCGCTTTCATGTGTCATTCTGTTTGGATTGTTACTAAGGTTAAATAAGTTAAGATGACACTTGCCTATAGTTAATGCCCGTTAAGTGTTAGCTATCCATAGCATTGATACAGACAAGCTATGACTCACCAAACATGACAGTTTCCTTGTACTCCCGCTTCCTTGATTGTTAAATGTAAGAGTCATCTTGATGGTATTTTTAATTTTATCAATTTGTAATTTTATAATAATTCTCTATAAAACTGCTAAAAGAGATGGTTAGGTGCACTGCTTGCTTTTCCAGAGTACCCAGGTCCAATCCCCTCTCAAATGACAGCCCACAGTCCTCTGAAATGCCAATCCTGGAGTATCTAATGCTTACTTCTGGTCCCAGAGGGCACCAGGCATTTATATTGTGCACAGACATGTAAACAAGAAGGTCATCCACACACATAAAATAAAAAATAAATTACTAAGAAATAAAAACTTCAGCATTGTCCTTGCTAGGTTGCTTTTCTTTTTTAATCAACTTGCTAGAAGCTAGAGTCTAACGGAAAGAGGAACCTCAGTTGAGAAAATGCTTCTATTAGATTGCCTGCGGGGGAATTTTCTTGATTGCCAATCACTAGAAGAGGGGCCCCCTGCTCAGTGTGAGTGATGCTATCCCTGGGCGGGTGGTCCTGGATGATTTAAGAAAGCAGGTTGAGCAAGCCATTAAACAGTACTCTTCTCGGGCCTCTGCTTCAGTTCCTGCATCGTGTGGTTTCTGTCTTGATTTCTTGTCCTGGCTTTCTTCATTTGGTTAGGAATGGGTTTTATTTCATCTTAAAATGGACTTACATGGACTTTAAGATGAAATAACCCTTTCCTGCCCAAATTACTTTTACCTTGATCTTTATCATAGCATTGGGAGCAAACTAAGACACTCGTAGAAAGAGGCTACAGAATGAGAGGCATTTCAAACATGAAATAAAGAGTCCAGTTAAGGGGAGAAAGTACAAAAGACATTGAGAGGGAAAACCATTATTTCAAGAGAAGCATCATCTTCTTGTTTAAAGTAACTCATCAGAGATTGAAATAAACTTGTGAAAGAAGAAAAGTTTTACAAACCGAGCTGTGTCTATGAGACTTTCATTCACACCCAAGTGAATGTCTTGTGTGGTAAGAAAAGAAGGGTGTCCTCCCAGAAGAGCAAAGCCTACAATAAAAGAAAAAGACAGTAAATGTTTTTAGATGATACAAAGAGAAACTAAAATGTAAACCAAAATTATGAGGCATCCACACTAACACCATCTAGCTCAATCGAAAAATCTTCACCTCAAAGCTCTTCGTCCTCTCTGGTAGGAAAGTCCCAAGCATAACAAAATTAACTGACTTTTGAGTGCATGCTTATATTTCTCCGCCATTTTTTCAAGAGGTGGCAATAATGGGACATTGCTCTCTTTGGGGAACAATGCCTACCTTTTAACTCTTCAAATTATAGAAAGATATCCTACTAGGAGGACAGAGAAATAAACTGAGGCTATATGGGATACCCTGGATTATACTGGGATATTAATCAGTAATAAAAAATAATGAACCTTCAGAAACACTGTGCTAAGTAAATATTTAGTGTTGGAAAATGTCTAGAAATAAGTATCAGAAATAGAAGGAATTAAAAGAGCTGTTGCTGCAGCATTGGGAGGATATTGTTGAAATATTTTACATCTTCATAGAGCTTCCAGGTTACACTGACATGCACATTTGTCAACATTGAAGGGAACATTTAATATCTCCATTTTTCTATGTATAAATGATACTTTAAGTTTTTAAAGTATGCAAAAACTAAAAATAAGTAAAACAAGTGCTGAGATGGTAGTTTAAAGTCACTAAGAGATAAAGGGTTACTGGCCTTCATCTTCTAATGAAAACAAAGCTGAGTACCAACTAGGACATTACCTCCCTGCCTCCCCACTATCTTTGCATGTTTAGTGCATTACAGATGCCTGAGCACAGGAGCCTGGCTGCTACCCACTTCTCACAACACATTCTATTGATAGGGTGAAGAGGACTACACACATAGGAGTCTGCCTCAAGCCACGGCTAAACTTTGTGAGGACAACCAGCAGAGGCTTTTTGACATAGGATCTGAGGCAAATTTGTGGGAGATGGTGACAGCTAACCAGAACCTTATTATGTCATTTGAGATAGCGTCCATGTGCAGAATTGCTCCAGTATATAAATGAAAGGCGAAGAAGCATAATTTCAAGATAGAAGTATTTTGCAAATATATTTTACCCTTTATGTTGTAATGTATCTAATTTATGTCCTGGAAAACATGTAACTGTCATAACTTGCTAATCTCATATGTTTGGGGGAGATAGTTTGTGAGAGGAAAATCATTAATTGCCCATTGAACTGGATGAGGAATTCTGGATCCACAAATGGAAGTTTGGCTAAAACCTGGAAATTTGACACAAAATTCCCTGACACTCTTCACTGTTGTATTAACACAATTTGAATAATAATACTTCAATATGGAATATTTCCTGGCTAGATATTTTTTACCAGTTTGACACAAGCCTGGGTCATCTGGGAAGAAAGAACTTCAATTGAGAAAATGCTTTAAAAAATCTCCATAAGATTAGGTTTTAAGCAGGCTTGTAGGGAACTTTTTTTTTCATTAGTGATTGATGCAGGAGGGCCCAGCTCACTGTGAGTAGTGCCATCCCAGGGCAGTGATCCTATGTTTTATAAGAAAGCAGGCTGTGCAAGCCAGGAGGAGGAAGTCAGTAAGCAGCATCCCTCCATGGCTTCTGCATCAGCTCCTGCCTCCAGGTTCCTGCCTTGAATGCCCGCCCGGAATTCCTTTCATGACAAATTTTGACCTCACAGTTCTAATTAATAGGAAATAAGCCACTTCCTCCCAAAGATGTTTTTGTATATAGTCTTTATACAGCAATAAAACCCAAACCAAGACAGAGTGTTATTAAATATTATTAAGGAATCATTTTGCTAATGATATTGCAACTACTGAGGAAAATATTCTGCATGCTTTAATAATGTTAAGGAATGTTTTGGGAGATAAAATGTCATGGTTTCAATTTTCTCTAAAAATACTTCAACAATGAGAGGAAGTAGACAAACTAAGGCAAACAATATGCTAACAATTGTTAAGACTCATATAAGGAGTATTGTGTTCCTTATGTTAATCTTGCTACATTTGTACTTACTTGAAAACATCTATTATAAAAAATAAGCATTAAAAGCTACAGCAACCATCCTTTATGTTGCTATGTCTGTCATGGTACTAGAAGTCAGTGTGTCCTGAATCTTACAATACAAGTCAAGAGCACTTGCTGGCACTTTATACACCTACCTCCATTGATTTTCCCTGAGAAATAGTCTAGTAGATGATATTGTAAGAATTTTATGAAATATAACTCTTTGCTTTCCTGTGAAATATTCTAGTGGCGAAAGACTGACTATAGAGTGGGTGAGTAAACTGAATATATTGTAGGTTATATACTCATAAGGGTTATAAAATTTGAGTAAGAAAGAGTGGCAGGGAATAGAAGACCAGAATTGCTATTTTAAGTGTCATGGTCATTGAAGTCACACTGAGTGAGGGGTATTTGAGTGAAGATTGAGGGATATGTGAGTACGAACCATGAGCAATATATGAGATGGCAGAAGACTAGTTACCTGTGTTGTGCGATGGTCATAACTGGTTGATTTAAGAGATAGCAAGAAGGTGTGAGTGGAAAATACAAGTGTGTGAGAAGTAGAAGGTGGGAAGAAAAGGCAAAAGCTGATGTTTGCCTGAAGAAAATGGAAATCTGAAGGCTAGACCAGATGAGTAGCAGAATTAGGCTTTGGTTTTAATGGACTATATAAATAATGAGTCAGAGTCAAGGAGACCAGTTAGAAGAGACATTTGTAAAATTTGGATGAAAGTTCAGAACTCAGAGCAGAGTGACTGCAGCTGAAGTAGTAAGAAAGTGGTTGTGTGACTGATATATAAGTATTTTGAAAGTAGTCTCAGTATTCAACTGTTGGGCCTATTTCCTACCTCAATGAGTGTATTACAGCTATCAGAGAACTTCCACTCGCCAACATCTGTATCCACACATTCTGCTTTATTTATCACTAAGCACAGATGAACTTCTCTTGCATTTCCATGTCCCTTCCTACTGTCTTATGGACATGTCCAACTTGCCCACATTTTCAGATATTTACTCAAAATGCTTAACAATCTGTGTGTCATCTTTGTCTCATGCTTCCATTCATAGACTTGAAGCTAACCTCTTTTGAGTGTTCATGAACGTTATCAGTTCTTTATCTCTTATGTCTTAGCCTCCAAGAACTATACCCAATAGTTAATAAAAACACCTTTCCTTGGCACCACATTCATTTTCAAGAATAACTTCAATTCTTTGCTCCTCTCTAATCAGTCCCGTTCTCCCTTCTTCTCATTCCCATCAAACTTGGCTCTATATAGCTTTGCTAGCCATCACTGAAAGAAAACTCCTCTCTTCGACGTTACCAGGACCTCCACATTGTTCCATATTTTTGCCCCTCTTTTTTTTTCTCAATCTCTTCAACAAAGCTGTGCACCAGTCTCTTCTGGATAAACATTCATTCTATAAACCCCAGGATATCACACTTTCTTGCTTTTACATTCATTGGTAATTTTCCTTCTTGGTCCTGATACTTGAAAGTGAATGTAGTCCCTTATTTAAACACCCTTGCTTTCTGGTTTCTACTATTTTCCATGACTTGTAAACTTTGGAGCATTATAGGGTCAATTCTTGGTCTTCTTCTCTCCATCTACAGTCACTAAATCGAGGTCCATGGCTTCGAACGCTATCTCTATGATTAAACATGTGCATTCTGGGTCTTACTTGGAAACTCCAGACTTATATTCAAGTTCTTTTACATCTTTCTTTGTATGTGTGACAGAGATCTCAATCTCAATACAAGCAATATTGAGTGTCTGTTTATTCCCTTTCCGCACATTCCCCCTGCAGCTTTCAGCATCTCTCAGGCAGAGATCTAGAAGTCATCTTTAGCATCCGTCTTTTGCCAAGTAAATTTAATCTGTTTGGATCTCCTTTCAAAGCATATTTAGAGCCTGTCCTTCCTAGCTTGCTCATTACTACCACTCTGGTTCTAGCCTCCCCCCTTTCCTGCTCTCCCGACACCGATGCACTTCACTGTATTTGTCTTGTTTCCATACCCCTTACAGCCACAGTCTATTTTCAATAGAGTAGTCAGGGTAACTTATAAAATGCAACTTTGTTTGTGGTCCACCTTTCCCCAGAAATCCTAGGTGATTTTTCTATTTCATCCAGGGTAAAAGCCCCAATTCTATTAATGATGCAGACCTTTCTGCTTCATCATTAAACCCATACTCTGTGGTGAAAGTATGTATTTTATTTAATATACTCTATCATTTGCATATTTGTTGTGTCTATTATTTATTGTCTCCCTGCCTACTAGAAAGTAAGTTCCATGAGGGCAGAGGGGTTCCCATGCTTTGTTTACTGGTAATCGAGTCACAAACATTTAATATAAAGATGTGAAATTCTAAGTGTATCGGGAATATTTGTTGAATGCATTGACGGATGAAGGAAGGACATTGACTCTGGAGAGCAGGCCCATTCCCAAACTGAGAGCTCTCGCTCTCTTCGTCTCCATCAAACATCTCCATAGTGTTGATGGGAAGAACAGAAATTTCAAATCTGTTAAGTCAACTACTTCTGTGAAGTCAGTGATGGTTGTAACTGACGACCATTTCTGAGCACTACATTTGTCTATAAACATGCAAAGTTAACCTAAACAAAGTTGAATATTGAATATTCATCAAGAAAATATTTATTGTGTACCTTTACCATATGCCAGGCCAAATGACAGGCACTACTGGGGCTTGTGACTGTGAAGAAAGAGGGCAAAGGCAATCCAACAACTCTTAAAGGAGAGCTCATTTGGTAAACCGCTTGCCACGTGAGCATGAAAATCTCAGTATGATGCCCAGAACCCATATAAAAATAAACTGGACACGGTCTAATGTATTTATAATCCCATTGCTGGGCAGGTGAGACAGGCAGATCCTCAAGGCTTACTGACCAATCAGCTTTGCCTATCTTGTGAGGTCCAGTCCAGTGAGATGGTTGGTCTCATAAGATAAACAAAAAACCGTGGATGGTAGGTGAGGAATGATACCTTAGGTTGTCCTGTACCCTGCAATGCACCCATTCACATGCATGCACCCATTCACACACAAACATCTGAGCACATGGGAAATAGACACATATACACACAAGAGAAAGTGTAAGACTTTTGTCATGTCTGATCCACACTACAATATATCAGGTAGAAATCAATTTTAAGAGAAAGCATTTTTAAGAAGACTTTACTTTATGAGAAAGACCAAAGGTGTGGGGCCTGCCTTAGGGTTTCTATTGCTGTGATAAAACCAGTGACCATAAACAACTTGGGGAGGAAAAGGGCTTATTTCATCTTGGACCTGTCAGGTCATTTTCCATTGCTGAGGGTAAGTCGGGGAAGAAACTCACACAGGGCAGGAACCTGGAAGCAGGAACTGATGTAGAGGCCATAGAGAAGTGCTGCTTACTGTCTTGCTCTTCATGGCTTACTCAGCCTGCTTTCTTATAGCACCCAGGACCATCATCCCAGGGATGGCACCAATCCCACTGGGTTTGGCCCTCTCACTTCAATCATTAATCAAGAAAATGCCTTATAACATAGCCTACTGGAAAATATGATGGAGGCATTTTGTCATGTGCGAATCCCTTCATCCCAAATGTCACTGTGTCAAGCTTGATGTAAACTGCTAAGGGTTGGATAGCTACCACTTCCGAGAAGGGATTTCTCTCTCTCTCTCTCTCTCTCTCTCTCTCTCTCTCTCTCTCTCTCTTGAACCGTTCAAAAAGAAACTCAGACGCCTATCCAAAGGCTCAAGTCAACTATTTGAACTATTTGCTAAGTTATCAGATCTGAGTCATGATGTTTCGAAGGATGCTAAAGGATCTGAAATTCACATGAGCAACTATGGCAGAGGAGAGGACGGAAGGATGGCTCTCCACTCTCCTGCCACCCTTCATTCACACGAATCCTTCTACCTCTTACATTTGTTCCTGCTTTCATAGCAGCTAGTTTTGTTCAATGGTTTTTCTCCCGTTACTTTCTCAAGTTTGGTTTGAGAAAATGCAGTAAATCTTATGTTGCTCTTTGTTTTCTTTGCATATTCCTGTGGGCTTTGGAACACGGGATGTAAGTAAGAATTTATTCAGTATAATTAGGCGAGATCTGCTGTATCTTGCTGGTAGGACTGAGGCTGTCATTAACCTCTCTATGATTTGCCATCATAGCTTCAGAATAGCATCTCATTTTTTTTTGTATTTGTAAAAATGATGAATTTGAAACAGCTGCCGCAGTACCAACTTCAATTTCACCTTGAAAGTGACATGCCCATGTTAAATAATGGGAAGAAGCATCACTTGTAATTCCCTGTGCATTTTTCTATCAGCTACTGCATTTACTAAGATTTTAAAAAAAGCATCTGTCTATCAGCCCAATTAATTTGCAATAAAAGAATACAATTGCCAATAGATACACAGGAGACTTGCCTGGTTTGCCAGGGGCGGCATACACTGCGAGATGTGGAATGAATGATCTAAAACTACACACACAGAGACAGAGACATTATCTTACCAACATAATGCAGAGCAAAGAGGCCAGACACAAAAGAGCACATGCTGAATGGCTCTTTCAATATAAAGGTTGAAAACAGGCAGAAGCCCATCTGTGGTAGTAGAAACCTAGATAATGGTTACCCTTGGATGGATGCACAGCAGCTTGAAGAAAAAGCAAGGTTGATGCAAAGGGCTTCTGAGTGCTGTCAACATTCTGCTTTCCTGGGTTTGTAACAGTGATGTATTTATTGTAAGATTCCACTGAACTATCATATACTTATTGATAAGTACGCTTCCCTGTAATTTTGTTAGACTTTAATATACATGTTTCATAAAGAATTAATGTGAGTGATTCTGTTTCCAGAGATAAGTAGAAACATTGTTGGATCCTTGGATCTCAGGTTTAAGATGGAATCAAGGACTAGACTGGAAGAATCAGCCTATCCCAGGGGATAGTTCAATTCTGTCTGAGTAACAGACCATTAGACACAATGTATTTTCATTCTAAATACCAAGGTCATATGTTGTATCTATTAAGAAAGTCTACCAAAAGACCACCATTACTATTCACATACGAAAGTGGGGTTGCAGTGCTGGGAAAAGGTGCACACGCAAGATCCTCATGTCTAGTCCCCAGTAATGCACATTTACACAGTTTTGTCATGGCTTCCATTGGGCTTTGTCATATTTTTTTTTTGTAAGCATTTAAGGCAGCAACTCCTTCTGATTGGTCTGTTACTGAGTTTAGCTGGCAGCATTCCATGTTCAATTAGATCCATAGGGATTTACTGAGGATAATGACAACTACTCTGTGAAGCACACATTTTAAAGGCCAAATAGTCCTGTCCCCGTGCATTTGCTAATAGAGTTTGCAATTTTTGTTTTAGAGTGCTTCTTTACAGACAATTGTCATCTAACAAAATGCTTAGTGCCATTTGTGGCAACAGTTTCACTAGAATAAACTGGGACTATTTCATGCTTTCACTGAACAAGCTATTTTTAAAAATACACTTAATAATAGCATCCAATCACATATCTGCCATATGTTAGCTCTCTGTACTTGGACCATTTCCTAAACCTAGTTCAACATGCTTTCCTCCCTCTTACTTTCATAGCACTGTAGAGAGGATGGAGTGAGGTGAACCATATAATTAATATGGAGTACTTGTCACAGAGTCTTTATAAAAAATTGTGTTATAGCCTCATTCTTGCCACTACTGACAGATTTAATACATCATTATGGAGGAACTTATTCAAAGATATTTCAATATCAAGCATACTATTTAAACAGAGATAATTGTAGAAACAACCAAAACATATTAATTTAAAAATTAAAAAGTTCCTATATACTAATTCTCTTGGTAGCTTGGAAAAAGACTATCTCTCTTAAAGGAACAATGGTTACAATTTTTTAGAAGATAAAATTCTGCTAGATTCATGGAAGATCAATGTTGGAAGAAAATAAGAATAACTGACAGGTTTCTTCATTTCTTCCCACTATCCCTCAGATGCCAGAGAGATGTCTTAGAGAAGCCAGATTTAAAGAGAAAAATAGAGCCATCTGTTTCCTTCCTAGAACTTCTAAGATCAGGTGACATCTTACATATTTCTCTTCTTCCTGTTTCCTTCTCTCAAGGGGCAAAGGACGTATTTTAATAAGAAAAGTGTTCTTGAGCTCCACACTTTGGTGCTGTTTTTACTGAGTGAACTTAGAGGTCACTTAATCCTTGTGAAATTCACTGTTTTTTTTTTTTGGCTATCTGTTTGATGAACTTCATTATTAGTTACTATTAGGCCAAATCATAAGTAATAAAGTAGTAGTTAACATCTAAGCCCGAGAAAGTGCTCTTTGATACTTTTAAGGCACAGTAAGTCATCTGAGGATGGAAGAATTTGCCAGTGTTTTTGTGACACTTCTTTCTCAACTCTGACTGCTCATTTCGGTCACGTGGTTGATTCAATGGAGGTCTGGTGGCAGAGAAATGCAGGAAAAAAGAAAAGAGGTAATTCATGGCTTGTAAATTTCAAAATCAACTCTTTGAAACTCATTGTGGAGATAATCGCTTTAGAAAATGACAACCACTTGCGTTTTGCCTGCCTGAAGTCTAGGCACAAACAGTAGTAATGGATTTGGAAGCTGGTTTGCTTCCTGCTAGTCATTTCCTCATATGACCTCAAATACTTGAACCTGGAATGGAAACGAAGAGAGCACAAGAAGTAACAGCAATAGAACTTGGTGGACTATTGTCACTGTGCATACTGTGTGTGCCCCAGACCAACTTTCAAGGGAACATGGAACCCTCGTGAGAATTTGAGGACCTCCAGTACTGAGAACATAGCTTTTCTGCCTTTAAGACAGAGCTCCAATACGCAATAAATGTTCTTTTGCACTGTCCTTGAGAAAAGAACACTTAGGCAAAGATAGCCTTCTGGTATCTCCATGCCACTGAAGTTTGGAGTGCTAACAGTCGCTAAAACAAGAGAATCTCAACAAGGTCTTGCAATCAGAGTGCAACAAAGTGCACAAACTGCAGACCCAACAGAAATGCAGATGTCCCAGGAGGCCCCAGGGTAAACATTCAGTGGTGGTGCCCCTGATGACCAAGCACACCAGCTGATCCCTAGCTATCGAGACATTCTAATATCTACCAGGGCTTAGGTATAACCAGAGAGAGGGAGAGGAGACCTGATATCTACAGCTTAAACTCCGAGGCACATAAGGGCTACCTAATGCAGAAAGGGCTCAGTTGCCACCGTCTAGTATTGAGACAGTGGGAAAAGTTGATGAGTAAAAGTAGACATGTTTTCCCCATATGTTCAGGGCCTCAGGATTTGTGTCCACTTGCATTTTGGCATCAACGTAAAGCAATGTCTAAAGTTTCTAGTTAATTTTTCACAGGCTTCCTACAGTTGAAGCTGATTTTTCTGCATAGAGCTTATTATGTGAATTGAAAGACAACTCTGCACTACTGCTGCTTCCAGCAAAACACTTGCTCTCTGTGGCTGCTAAAATGACACACAAAGCTCCCCACCAGGTTAAGCCTTCGAAGGCTCCATCCCCAGGCTAGTTTTTCAACACAAGTGTGAGCTTGTCAGTAGACTCACCTGTTTCTGTGGAGAGTCTTGTTCGAGTACTTCTTTTCTCAAAAATCATTCCTAAGGATTTTCCTTGCAATAAAGGCAAATACTGAAAACCAAAAATATGATTAAAATGCAAGGTACACTTACTATCCAACATCAAGGATTATATTTCAAAATTCTAATAAAAATACAAATCAATTAACTACTACTTCTGAATAAGTGGCCACAATATTGTTTAAAACTGAATTTAAAGGTGTTTCCTATTCACTATACACAGATTATTAGCATGAAATTAGGAATTAATGTTATTTTGGGATACAGGTTTCTCATGAAGCCCGACTATCCTTGAACTTCCTGTGTAGCAGAGGCAGGCTTTGAACTCCTGATCATCTTATTTCCACCTCTGAAGACCTAGGGATACAGATGAGTGTCATTATGCTTGAAATACAGCATTATTGATGCGAGGGTTCAATTTGGGAGTTTGTTCCACAGCAGAATACTTCACACTGGAGCCATTAACTTACTTAACTATATTGAAATCCACATTAAATTTTCAGTGCTGAAGATGTTTGACTCAGAAGGACTTTCTCGATTAGTAAGATCTTACTCTGTCCTACACTGGACACTATGAGTCCTACTTAGGACATCGATGAGCCTCAGTTTTTAGCTTCATGTTTCTTAGTCTCCCTCATGAGAAAACATAAAGGCTTTGTTACTGGAAGTCATTTGAAATCACTCTGGGAGCTTGAGTGCTGGGTGGAGCTCTTCCTCTGTCTTCATATATAATTGGACTTCCACCTAGGATGTATTAACATCTTCTGGTCTCCAGGCAGCAAACCTTTAAAGGGCAATGGTCTAAGACCTAAGGATACCTTTTCCCCATTCCAGGTGTTTACAAGAACATCAGCCCACAGAACTTGGAGCATCTCCTGGTCTCTTCGGAGCTTGAAGAGCTAGCCAACTAGATAAGAAAGTCAGAGTCATACCAAACTTCCTCAGCCTGTGACCAAATCTTAAAAACAAACAAACAGATAAACACTTTGAGCCATACAAAGTGACACATCCCAGCACTGGGGAGGCAGAGGCAGATGGATCTCTGTGAGTTTGAGGCCAGTCTGATTTACATATCAAGTTCCGGGTCAGCAAAAGCTACAGAGTGAGACCCAGTTTCATAAACAAACAAACAAAGAAACAAACAACATTTGAACAAATTTGGAATACAAATCTGCTTTCACAATTAAGCATTCTAAATGAAGCCACTGCATTAGCATTTTGAAACATAAATTGCTCAAAATGCAGAACAATGCCCATGGTTAAGCACCACATTCAATTTCTTCCCCTATTTGACTCAAATTTACTTCTTTCTTTATAATTGGAATGTTTTTTAAACATAATTTCATCATTATGAATATCATCCTAATGATGAACATATCTGATATATATCCAGAACAGAAGTGTATTGCTAAAACAACAACATATTGTCTGATTTAGTTAATAGAAAACACACACACAGAGAGAGAAGGAACATATAAGAATAAAATCTTTCTAGGCAAATGATATCTCAGTTTCAGATCCATTTACTAATGCATTTAAGCATTCAGCTGAAAGAAAAATTGCAAGGACTTGTCGTAGAATAACTGCTTTTCATGCTTGTTTATATGCCTGGACACTCAGTGCTAAGCAATTACCTTGCCTGTGAGGGTTCATTACTTAGCTACCATTCTGGAATTTTAATCTACTCTCTTTTCCCTCTGCTTTAGGAAAGCTGCCTAAAAAGGAGCCATTGGTTTGTAATGGAAGAGAAGAAAGGCAAATAATGCATACTTCTCCTTTCTGCTTGATCCTGAATTTCAGATCTGCAGAGAGCCATAGCATGTACTGAATCTCCTCTCCTGTGAAGTTCTTCAGGGTGAGGAGGTCACGGCCTTTCAGCTGTACTTGACTCTGTACTGGTTTTCCACACCTACGAAAGAAGACAGATGTCAGAAAAGGACAGTATACATTTAAAAAAAAATAAAGAAAGAAATTGCTGTTTGGTGGTCGATTGGCCTATTCTTGGAATCAAGCATAGCAAATCACATGGTGTAGCATGTCTCTCTGCAAAGCGTTGATAAAACTAATGTGGCTCTGGTTTCCATTTTATATGTGTAATAATTGTTCTTTTTGAAAGAGTAAAATACTCTGTGGAAAGAAATCTAATTCGGACACACTTGAGTTAGCTGGCTGGACAACTTTGCTGCTTACTAAATCATGCAACCTTAAGCATGTTACCCAACCTCTTTCTGGAGCTTTTTCTCATCAACAAAAAGTGTGTAGTAGTTTTATAGTGTCATTGTGGAAATATAGTTATTTGCATCATGTGAACCAGTGCTCAGCATAATATGCATTATGTAGAGCTTACCTACTGTTACAGAAATCGGGTATAAGTAAGCTTTATAACACACAACAGAAAAGTGTATCGTTTACCCCTATTCCTGTCACTTTGTGAAGACTCGGACTCCTTTTGTCACTGAGCGAAACCACAGCCAGCCCTGGAGATTTTCTTGTGTCATGCAGAAAGATGTTTTAAAGTTCTATGGTTATTTTCTTTGTATCCCAAGAATGAGATTAAAACAACAAATAATAATAATCCTGTAACATGGTAATGATTTCTTAAGCTTTGGAAATACGATGCAAGTTGACACTTTTTGCCTTCAGCTCATATCTGATTCAGATTGACCTCTTTTATTGGGTAAAGACAAGCCAGGACCTGCTTGCTCTGTTTCCTTTACTTCAGTTCCTCAAGGTGAGGTCAATTTGAGAACAAATCTAATTGTTTTCTAGGTTTCTAGTATTGGTGTAGGTGTTTGAGGGTGATTGTTTATGGTATTTACTGGAGTCCTGTAGAGAGACTCTCCCAGAACAGTTTTTGATAGAGATAAAACCATTTCCTAGGATCCTAAAGGTTTTATGTTTATCCAGCCACCACCACCCCAATGAGGTCTTTTCCCCTATCCAGGACATCACTTGCCATGATCAGAAACAGTGCCATGCTACCAGTTCTTTTTCTTATTCCTCCCTGGCCCATGGAAATTGCTCCATATTGCTTCACCTGATAAGAGTAGGGTTCATTCTATTAAAGACTCCTCTTTTAATCTGCCATCAAAACAGTGAACTAGTTAGTACCTATTATTTTATTTTTTTCTGCCTTACTAACTTTGTACCCTTTGACTTACATCTTTCATCCTTCCGTCTCATGTTGATAACCACTGTTCTACTCTCAATTTCTTTTTTGTTTTTTCTTTTTTTTTTCAAGACAGGGTTTCTCTGTATAGCTCTGGCTGTCTTGGAACTCACTCTGAAGACCAGGCTGGCCTCGAACTCAGAAATCTGCCTGCCTTTGTCTCCTGAGTGCTGGAATTAAAGGCATGAGCCACCACTGCCTGTCCTACTCTCAATTTCTAAGTTCAACTTTTTCACGTTTCATATACAAGTCAGATCCTGAGGTATATGCCTCTGCTGTTCATGGCTTGTTTCACCTACTAGACAGTATTCTAGGTTAGTCTGTGTTGTCACAAATGCAAGAATTTCCTGCATTTCAGTGTGTGTATATATGTTGCACGTCTCAGTTCATTCATCTATTGATGAACACTTAGATTATTTCCTTATCTTGGTCTTTGTGACTAATGTCTGTCAAGATGGCTGAACTCTCATATTTTTTTTTTAAAAAATTCCCTGTAAACACTCAACTCCGTGGCTTGGTTTCTGTAGCCCATTTTGTAATATGTAAGTGATAATGTGTATAGTATTCGACTGAAATTTGAAGAAACTGATTCTTGTCTATCTGCTTTGCAAGTCTATTTTGGGGATTCTGACTTCTAGTTTGACTCACTGAGAACAATGTCAGCACTGGCTTGGCCTGGGTACAAACTAAGACAGGAATAGACCTTCTTAGCATTCTATCACATTGTAGTACCTGTTATTGGAGGTAATCACTGTATGAAATGTAAGAAATGAGCAGCTTTTATTAAATTGTTCCCAGTGTCATGGTGTTATCTTTATTTAATAGTAACTGATGCGTATCACACTGGGGGGGGTGAATACTAATTAGAAAGACTGAGAAACTGTGGGAAAATTGATTTAGCATGTCTATTAAACATTAAGTTTTGCAAGGAGCACAATAACTGCTACAAAATGATAATACTTGAATTCAATCATAAGAAAACACTTTGGGTATATATTCCTTTGAGATTTATGCATACATTTTTGGAATATGACATGGTCATAGGTATGAAAATCACAAATTCACTCAAGTTGTTAATTCTACTTCATAATCAATGATAACTTGGACAAATTTCACTAAATAACGGTCTAGCAGAGTTGTTTTCTTTGTCGAACTTCAATAAGTGAGTATATATTTTTTTTCAGAACAAATGCAGCTTACTCTTCCTGCCCATCCCCATTTTCTCTCATCTCTTCTTTCCTTCAGATCCATACTCCTGCTCCTCCCCTTAGAAAGGAGCAGGCCTCCCAGGGGCATCAACCAAATATGGCATAACAAACTACAATAAGACCAGGCACGTAGTCTCACACCAAGGCTGGACAAACCAAACCCACGCTAGAAGGAAAAGGGTCCCAAAGGCAGGCAGAAGAGTCAGAGACATTCCTCTCCCCTGCTGTTAGGAATTCCACAAGAACAGTAAGCTAAGCAATCATAACATAAATGCAGAGGACATAGGTCAGACCCGTACAGGCTCCCTGATCTCTGTGAGCCCACTTGAGTCCTGTCACTTGTCTGTGGGCTGTGTTCTTGTGGTGTCCCTGACCTCTCTGGCTTCTTTAATCCTTCCTCCATTTCCTCTGCTGGACTCCAAAAGCCCTGCCTATTATTTGGCTGTGGGACTCTGCACCTGCTCCCATCAGTTGCTGGATAAAGTCTCTCTGTCTCTCTGATGACAATTTATGTTAGACTCCAGTCCCAGTACATTCTGCAGGCTTGACAAAGTGTAGGTCAGAGGTTTTGTGGCTGGATTGGTGCCCTAGTCCCTCTCCTTGAGGCCTTGTTTAGTTGCAGAAGATGGCCAGTTCAGTTCTGATAATACTAATTAATGGTCACATTAAGAAACACTTGACATATATATGCACTGGTGTTGTTGAAAAATAAGTCTTTGGCTATATGTGCATTGCCAAGGTCAACTGCAGCTTTCTTATGGGGCTCTGTAAAATAAGTTTTCTAAATCTGTCTTTGAATAGAGGTGTGTCAGCTTAGTTTTTACGACTTCACAGTTAGGGAAGTTTTGAAAATACATTTTCTCCTGGAATATAATCTAAACAATGTATGATTGCAGGTGATAAACTCCTGTGCTATGATAACACATTACCATTATATGGCTTGAGACTTCCGCCAACATTATTTTTAAAGGAAGAAATGTTAGATTGGAAAACGCCACTCCCTGTGTTTCAGGGAATATAGGAAATATCACTACAGCTGCTGGATTCACATTCATCAAAAACAGGAGAACTAATTCATAGGCTCATTTTAAGGCCTTCATTTTGGCCTGGCGTTCAAGCTCATGATTCTGGTTATTTTTGGAATCTACAAAAGCTGGGTTTTCAAACCTCTGTCCTTAAAGGATTCAGTACCCTTGTTCTTCCTACCATCTTCTGAAGGCTTCTCCAATCTCTGAGCATTCACAGAATTGAGAGAGAGAGAGAGAGAGAGAGAGAGAGAGAGAGAGAGAGAGAGAG